TCTCTCTCTCTCTCTCTCTCTCTCTCTCTCTCTCAATCCTCGGTGCCAAAAATACATAAATGAATAAATTAATAAATTAATTAAAGTGGAAAGGGCTGGGAATGCAGCTCATTGGTAAAGATCTCCTAGGTTTAATCCTCAGTGTCAGAAAAAATAAAAACTAAATAAAGGCAGCAGATAAATATTTCTAAAATAAAACATGTATACTCAAAATTTCTGCAAAAGTCCAACTACTGAATGAACAGCGGAGGCCCAGAGCTTGGAAACAATGCTTTTGGAGGAGAAATGATTGGTTTATAGCCTTAACCTAGACAGTCAATTAATCTTGATGGGATTAACTGGGTGATAACAGGGGGAAGGTGGGGTGTGGCTGGAGGAAACTTATCATCTCCTCTCTCTCTCTCTCTCTCTCTCTCTCTCTCTCTCTCTCTCTCTCTCTCTCTCTCTCTCTTCTATGATAATGTGCACACCTTCCCTCTGCCACAATCTCCCACCATGATGTTCAGCCACATCTTGGAGGTGAGGCCACAAGCAATGGAGCCTGTGGTCTTCTGATTGAGACCTCTGAAACCATGAGTCCCCAAATGAACTTTTCCTCCTCTGTAGCTGTTGGGGTTGGGTGTCTTAGTCAGAGCGTAAAAAAGCTGACTAACACAAAGACAGAACAGCAAAGCAAAAATGCAATTCTGTGACTGCCACCAATCAAACCATTCCTTGTACATCTTCCTTGTAAGTCCTTCCCTCACATGGCTCATCAACCAAGCACTCCCTCTCTTTCTGTCTCCCCTTCCTCAATTCCTGAATTATGTTTTACTCAGACTCTTAAAATTTTCCTCTGCCTGTGTACTTCTCACAGCCTAAAGGGTCCTGAAAACTGCCTGGGGCCATGGTTGCCTGGCAGATGTGCCCTGGGGAGGTCCCTGATTCTGAAGGAAGACTCTCCACTTGGTGGCCTCCCTGATGTCAGAAACACCTGCTGCCCAACCCTTTGTCTTTCTCTCCAATTCCCAAGTTGTCAACAGTTTCAACACTTGGTGGAATTCAGACTTTTCCAATCTGATGGGGCATGGTGCCATATGCCTCTGATCCTAGTAACTCAGGAGACTGAGGCAGGAGGATGGCAAGTTTGAGGCCAGCCTCAGCAACTTAGTGAGGCCCTAAGTAATTTAATAAAATCATTTCTGCAAATAGTAGGAGAAAAAAAGGAGAAGGGCTGGGAATTTGGCTCAGTGGTATAGCACCAATGGGTTCAATCCCCAGTACAGACAGACAAAGAGAAAAAGTCATGTCCCAAGACTAGAAGACTGATTCCACCCTTGGTGTCCATTCTTCCTCTTGAGTGGCTCAGATATACTGCAAGGTAACGTCATAACTATGTCACTGTTGGACACATTTTTTTTTAATGGATGATGCTAATATCCTCAAGAACCTGTTTTCACTATGGAATCTTTAAAAAATATTAAAAAAAAATGTTTTAGATATGAAAAAGTTCCCTTTACAATGACATTTTTTTTTCTTGCTTTAGGGATTAAGGGCCTTTTTGTCTTATAGGCAGAAACAGGAGGGTCACAAATGGGCAAAATTCAGTCCATGGAATGTAGTGCATGGATGGAGGCAACCTTGCACCTCAAACTCTCCATGCTTCTGCTATCACACATGAAAATCCAATTCAATCAATTAAGAAAATCTAATCAGGGTTACATGGGTGGAGATTCTCCACTGTCATCAGAAACTGCTTTCTAATTGGATGCTAATAAAAAGGTGGAGGTGGGGTCGTGGTATAGGTGGTGAATAAAAGTTTCTCCAGTGCCAGAAGACAAACATCAGAGTCCTGGAGCCCAAAGAGACCCAGCCTGACCTGCTGAGGCTCTGAAAACCCAGCAAACCCAGAAAGATCCTGTAAGTCCCTCACCGCCCTGAGCACCAGCGCATTCTTTCTTCACCTGTGCAGTTTCAGGAAAAAATTGGCTTCTGTTTTTTCTCATGAACCAATTTAGGACTTGGATTTTTGCCTCTCAGTGTGGTTTTACCTTTATCCTGAACATTAGGATTTCCACTTTGGCTTATGTCACCTTCAATTTTCTTTCTTTTACTCTATTTTTATTTATTTATTTATTTTTTGTTTCAGGATGGAACTCAGGGGCTCCCAACTACTTAGCTGCATCCCCTAGAACTTTATTTCATTGTATTTGGAGACAGGGTTTTACTGAATTCCTTAGAGCCTGTTCTTGCTGAGGCTTGCTCTGAACCCCTGATCCTCCTGTTTCAGTCTCCACAGCCCTTGAAATTACAGCCTTGCATACACACTCCCTACACTTTTTTTAGAATTTTGCTTCTTAAAGTTTATATGGACAAAATACATGTATTTATTCATTAATTTATCTATTTATTTCTTTGGTGGTGCTGATGATTGAACCCAGGGCCTTTTGCATGGGAAGCAAGCACTCTTAATAACAAAGGTATATCTCCAGCCCATAATTTATTTATTTTTATTTGCTGTTGAGGATCAAACTCAGTGCCCCACATGTCCAAGGCAAGGATTCTTGCACTAAGTGCCAGCCCCAGCTACTTTAAAATTTAATAATCAAGGAGATGGATTGGATTCCTATTTCATTCTAATTAATTGAAATTATGTTTTCTGATAATGCACATATTTATTTTGAGTTCTCTTAAAATTATACTGTTTTGCTGGTCATGTTTGTGTATGCTTGTAATCCTACCATCTCCAGAGGTTGTGAAAGCAGGAGGATTAGAGTTCAAAGCCAGCCACAGCAACACAAGGTGCTAAATAACTCATTGAGACCCGGGCTCCAACTAAAATACAAAATAGGGCTGGGGAAGAGGTTCAGTGGTTGAATGTCATGAATTCGATTCCCAATTCTGCCCCCGCCAAAATTATATATTACAGATTGTGGTTTTGTAAATTTATAATTCATTTTAAAAAATTAAACAAAATGCTTATAACCATCTTATGCAACAATTTGCAGACTGTATTCTGATCTATTCTGATCTGTTTGCTTCAACTCCTCCCTAAGGTGGAAGAATATCACATGTGTAACAGATATTAATGAGAAACTCAACTTTTAAAATCCAAATGTTTTATAACATGGGCACATGCTGTATAATTTCTCATTTAATTTTTAAAATTAAAACTAATGTCACCCATGTGAGGACATGTCCATTCCAAGCCATGGTAGTTTTTGAAGCTGAGGAGGCTACTGCATTAGGTCACATAACACCCCAACTCCCCTTTTATAAGGACAAAATAATAAAGTCCTTCTCCCATTAAGGGTGGGGTGTGCTTTTACACTCCCCAGTACCCCCTTCCCAGTAAATGGCAATGAATGGGATAGTGACCTTATTTCTGGACAATTTTCAAGGATTCTTCTTCATTCAGACTACCCAGGATGAGCATCCAGTCTCCACCCAGACTCCTGGAGCTGGCAGGTAACAGCCTGCTGAGTGAAAAGTACACGGCTGTCCTGGATCTGGAGGACCTGCCCATAGAGCTTTTTCCACCACTCTTTGTGGAGGCCTTCAGCAGGGGACACACAGAGGTTCTGAAGAAAATGGTGCAAGACTGGCCCTTCACCCGCCTGCTCCTAGGGGCCCTGATGAGGAAGCCACAGCTGGAGATGATCCGAATGGCACTGGATAGGCTGGACATGCTGCTTGTCCAGCAGGATCGCCCCACGTGAGGGGGACCCAGGTGGCCTGGAAGGGAGCACCCTTGGTGCCAGGGAAGGGATGAGTATATGAAGGGAGTGTGGGTGCTTAAGTATGCTCCACAGGCTTCCTGGGCTGCCAGCAAGGAGAGGTGGAGAGGCCAAGGCCATGCTGAGCCCATCTGGGACAGGCTTCCAGATGTGAAGGTGATTGTGGCAACTTTGGTTACCCATGAAGGAGGCTGTACCTGCCACTGCCTCAGTCTGTACAAGTGGGGACACAAGGATGGATTGGAGGGAAGTGGGTGGAGAAAAGTGAGACAGAAAGAAGAAGTGGAGCAGGGAGCAGCAGCTGAGAGGTGAAGAAAGGGGCCTCAGGGCTGAGACTCAGTTGTGATCCATGCAGGAGGTGGAAACTGCAGGTGCTGGATTTGTGGAATATTCCCCAGAACTTCTGGAGGATGTGGTCTGGAGCCATGGTTGATGCCTGCTCACCAGAGGCAATGAAGAAGAATCAAACATTGAAACTTTGTCCAACAATGGCAGCTTAGATGCCCTTGAAGGTAGTCATAGACTTGTGCTTCAAAGAAGGACCCCTGGATGAATTTCTGACCCACTTGTTCCTGTGCTTCACACAGAGAAGGAAAAGGCTGCACCTGTATTGCAATAGGCTGAAGATCTTTGGGAAACTCACCAGCCACACCAGGAAGGTCCTGAGACTGCTGCAGCTGAACTCTGTCCAGAAGGTGGAAGTGCACTGCACCTGGGTGCCCTCCACCTTGGCTGCTTATGCTCCTTTCTTGGGCCAGATGAGGAACCTGAAGATTGTCTCCTAGGTTCCCATGCCTTCCTACACCTCCCCAGAGGATCAGGACTGGCTGCTCGCCCAGCTCACCTTGCAGTTCCTCAGAATGGACTGACTGTGGAAGTTCTGTATGGATGCTGTCCTCCTCCTCGAGGGCCACCTGGAGCAGGGGCTGGGGTGTGTAAGGGGGGTGAGCATCCTCTGCAGAGCAGTAACAAGAAATCTGAAGGGCATCTACTGTGTGCCAGCCACTGATACTCTCATAGTGAACAAGACATTTGATGGTAAATAGCACATCATCTGTTCCTATTGTATCCTGAACCTCGATCTCATAACCTGTCTTGGAGCAGAGGGCTAAATAACCTGGAGTGCAGTATCTGGGAAAATAGCTGAGGGGGACAGGAGCTAGTGAGATGTGTTTGAGGTTCCTTCCCTGGGAGGCCTGTCTAGCGAAGATGAAGGGAAGCAGGGTAGAGAAGAGGGCTTGGAAGTAGGCAAGCTCCCACACTCACACACCTCTACAGGGAAACTCTGTGCTCTCCAGCTGGGAGAAACCCCACTTCTATGACAAAGTGGGGAAGGCTGTTCTGAGCCTCAGGTGGTGATTCTGCTGTTGAGGGTGAGGAGCAGGGATGGAGGCCTTGCTGAGGGTACAGGGTATAAACCCTGCACAAGGTTAACCCCCATGTGTTTTGTTACATCTTGCCTGGATTTATCCTTCATACATGACTCCTCCTGATCTCCTGTGGCCAGACCTGTGACTTACTGCTTCACAGTGAGGAGGGGAGAAAGAGATGTGGACCCATCTAGTCACAGAAGTGGTGTTGAAAGGCTCACCCTGAAATGGGGTTATGTGAATGACCAGATTCTACAAAAGGCAGCATCCTAAGTGTGGATCATTGTCAGATCACCAGGGTGACTTTGGGTTCAGTCCAATTTGTCTTCTTCCACCTTGACATCACTCCTTAGAACTAACTGCCTGGTTTCTACTTAGGCACCTGAAGACCCCCCCTGAAGACCCTGTCAGTAACCAACTTCCCGCTGTCAGATTCTGACTAGAATTATTTTTCCCTAAGTCCAAACACCAGGCAGCTCAAACATCTGGAACTCAGGGACATCAGACTCACATATTTCAGTCTGGAACACCACAAAATTATGCTGAACAGCACTGCAACCACCCAGGAGAATCTGGACTTTGAAGCTTGTGGCATCACTGACTCCCAGCATCAGGCCCTTATGCCTGCCCTGAGCCACTGCTCCCAGCTTGTGATCTTGAGCTTCCATGGGAACCACCTCTCTATGTCATCCCTGAGGGACCTGATGGTTCACACTGCCAGGCTGAGCCAATTGAGCATAGAGCTGTACCCTGCCCCTCTGGAGAGTTATGATGCCAGGGTACCATCCACCCAGGGAGCTCACAGCAATACTGAAGGACTTTAGGCAGCCAAACGTCCTTATTTTCAGTAATGTCCCCTGTCTTTAATGTGGTTACAAATTCACCTATATCCAGGGCCTCATTCACTGCTGCTATCCAATAGCTGCCAAGTTGGGTGTGTATAAGAAGCATACTTCTTGGCGACTGGAGGTATAACCAGTATGTAGGGTCATCTTAGAAGGAACCAAGAGCCTACCATTTCAGACACTTGCCTGAAGTGTGCATAAGAAAAGAAAGTGCAGCAGGGGGCTACAATGGAGGGAAGCCCCCTGAGGATAGGACCTTCAGGACAGTGTCTTTATAGAGACATAGATAGGCACCTGGATTTCTAGAATGAGATTTAGGCTTGATGGGCACAGGAAGAAGATATCTTGTTTCATTTCTGGTCTATAAAGAAATAGTCATAAATTAATGAAATCTCAAATTAATTCTCTAATGTCCTCCAATATGCATTTCCCTTGTGTTCTAATTTAATCGTTGCGATTCTCCAGGTGCTGATGAAGAAAGACAGCACTGGCTACTTGGTGATCAATGTGGTTCATTTCTGGGAAGTCAAGTATCAAACTGAAATCTGGTCATTATGTGTGGCTACTTTGTGGCTTAATGCATGCAGGTGCACACAGGTGGCCTGGAACATTCTATGTTCTATGAGCCACTGCACGTAAATCTCTTCTCAGGGTACCTCAGTGCTACCCAGACATTCAATGTTGCCCCTTCCTTTTGAGTCTTTATGTAGACCCAGAAACCTCAGGTCCCAGTCTCTGGGTGTGCTGGGCAAGGGCATCTGTGCATAGGACAGGCCTCATTGTCCTACGCCCAGTGCCTGCAGGAGATGTCCATGCTGTACATTGATCAGAACCCCTGAGCCTCACCAAACCTTGTCTGTCATCTGCCTAGGTAGTCTGTACTCAATTAAATTAGTGGTGCATACCAATGAAGGTATCCAAATTACCTTTCAGCAAAATAGTAGAATCATATAGGTAGATAATGAGAAACTGATGGGACCCCATTTTTGAAAAACGCTTCTACTTCAAGGCCTGTCCAAAGGAAGGTGGCATTACTCTTATCCTTGGAAAAACCCACAGAGCACTCCAAGGCACATACCCATCCTGCTGAGTTGTTTGTCTGCAAATAACAGGAGAGAACTGTGGTGCCAGGTGTCCCTGACTCAGGCTTGGTGAGGACCCATAGCAACCCCCTAGGAACCACTAATCAGCATGAGCCTGGGAAAATACCTAGGTTGCCAGATGACCCCTAGTAGTTTATGGTGTTTGATAACATGTTGGGAAACCATGTAGTTTAACATATATACCCCTCATGGATTAAACTAATCAGTTCAAATGAATCCCCCTCTTGTACTTACCAAACACCCCTACCTAACTTGTTCCTCACAATGAATGTACTAATCAATGTTAAGAGTTATAGTTTGATTTTTCCTACAGTGTGAAATGATTTGCTGTGTGATGTTGTGACTCATAGAGTATCCCCCCAAATATAAAATCTAACTAAATAAAGGACCAGAATGGTTGTGAGTCAAGGCTCAAGCTTTCAATAAAGATTCTTGGGGATTGCCTCGGATTCTGCTCCTGGAGGTCTACTGGGGTCCCCTGAATCTAGCATTACAGTAACACTTGCAAATATTTCAAAACCAAATGGAATAAATTACAAGCTCTGGTGGGGCAGGGCTACTCATAACTGAAAGATCTTCCTCTAACACTTCCCATCTCTCTCTATCAAAGGAGACAAGGTGGCCTCTTTTGAATCAGATGGTCAGAAGGTGAGTAACCATGGGATAACTCTGGGCAAAAGGGTGGCCCTGCTTGTGCTACCTGGTCCTAGACCAAGATGCCTACACAACGGCTCCTGCTGAGGACTCAGGTTGGAGGGTTGTGCATTGACCTTGGCCTTAGCTTCCCATCCATGGAGGAGAACAAGGTCCACTGAATCTTTATTTGACTTTTTCTTAAGCTGCCTAAGTGTGTTTTAATTTGGGCCTGAAGACTTCTCCACACACACTGAACTAGAACCCAATTTGATGTGTAAGTGGATTCCAGCTCGCTTTTGGAACAGAGACCTAGCAGAGTCCATGTCCTACACAACCAGCCCATCTGTCCCCCACACAATGATCTCTGTGGCTCAACCCTTTTTATGACACTTCCTTTCCTCTTGCTCTATGTCTAACTTGCGTGGTTGGTGGTGGGGAAATTCTGAACAGCATTCATTCTGCTCTGCTGCTGCATTCAAAGATCAAACAAAGACAAGGAAGATCTGCAGTACAAGATTTGTCATTATTTTTTTAAGGATCTTAATGACAAAAAAAGGGTCTTAAAGATATTCTTGTGCCTCCAGACCCATGGAACAGTACAAGTTGCATGTGTTCCCACACAGCCATGGGGATAAAGCACACAGAATGCTCTTTGAGCTCCTCATCTGTTGACTCTAGGTTCATTTGTGCTGTGAGAGAGCACACAATTGTAGGATGACATAACAAACAGGACTGGGTCTGTAAGGGTGGCCTGGTCAGTAGAGGACTCAGTTTTACTCCTTGGAATGGCTACAGAAAGATACAGAATCTTTTGTGCAACTGCATCAAGAGTTTAAATCCCCTTCTGGAAAACTGGCCAATTTCACCTGTAAAATCTAGAAACCCAGAACCCATGTTTTCTACAGAAATGAGTGAACTTCATAAAAGATAACTGAGGGCCTGGGGACATAGCTCAGTGGTAGAGCACTTGCCTAGCATGAGGAAGGGCCGGGTTCTATCCTCAGAACCACGAAAGTACATGAACACATAAATGAATAAATAAACGAATATGGATGTGACTCCAGAGAGAAGTTTTATTTTGAATAAAGTTGTGTATTTGTGAGGAGTACTTAAAAAGAAAGAAAAACAGAACACACATTAGAACAATGTAATGCATTCTTTAATTGATATGCACTCACAGGCATGTAAAATTGATGTCCTTAAAGATTATTTTCCATAAACAACTAAAAAGCTGGGTTGGTGGTGCTCCTCTGTCATCCCAGCCACTCAGGAAGCTGAGGCAGGATGATTGTGAGTTCAAAGCCAGCCTCAGCAATTTAGTGAGTCTGTAATCAATGTAGTAAGACTCTGTCTCAAATCCCAACTGGGGATGTGACTCAGTGGTAAAACCCCCTTGGGTTCAATGCCTGGTACCCAAAACAAAAACAAATATGAAAAGCAAATACAATGGCACATGCCTGTAATCCCAGCCTCTCCAGAAGCTTTATTATTTTATTCCTTTTCCATGTTTTACTAACTGGGGCATGGCCCATCCTTATTATTTTTGTCTCTTGAGATGCAATATTGAGCCATTTATTTGAGATCTGATTTCCTAATGTGGGTATTTCTTTCTGCAAATGTTCTGCCTAAAATTGCTTTTGCTGTTTCCACATGTTCGAATATCTTGTGTGGCCCTGTTCATTGGTCTGCAGACATTTTACACTTTCATTTTGATTTCTTCAATGACCCATTGTTTGTTGGGGAGCACACTGAAGAATTTCCATGCTTTGTAACTGCCAAGGTGTTCCTCCTGCTATGGACCTCTCATGGTATACTGTTATGATCAGGGGAGAGACTTGGAATAATTCCATTTCTCTTAAATTCATTGAAATTTATATTGAGAATAAATGGAGAATGTCTCACATGCTTAACAGGATGTTTTCTCTGCAGTGGTTGGGATGAAAGGTCTGTAAATGTCTACTGTGTGCAGAGATGATCTGTCCAGTGCTGAAAAGGGGTATTGAAGACTGACTGTTATTACTGTGCTGTAGTCAACTTATTCTTTTTTATTCCAGTAATATCTATTTTGCACATGTAGGTGCTTGGGTTTCAGGTATATGTATGTGTACAATTGCTGTCTCATGTTGCTGAATTGACCACTTTATCATCCTGTGATCACCTTGTCTCTTTTTATTGTGATTTAATCTGTAGTCTGTTTTATCTGACAGGAGTCTAGCCATTCCTGCTTTAGGTTGGTTTATCTTTTCCATTTCTTCATTGTCACTCTGTGTGTGTTCTGAGGTGAAGCTACTTTCTTGTAGACAGCAGGTAACTGAGTCCATTAAAAAAAAAAATCCATTCAGTCACTTTACCTCTTATAATTGGGGAGTTTAATCCATTTACATTCAAGGTTTATGTTGAGATGTGCAGGATTATTTATGACTGGTCTTATTTGGTTTTGTTTGTTTTTTGATTGCTCTTTAGGTCTCTTTCTCTCGTTTCCTCTCTCACTCTCTCATCTGTCTCTGTGGGTTGGTGTTTTTCTTCTGGGATCAGCTTTGATTTCCTTCTTTGCTATTTGGGAATATGCTGTCATTTTTTTTCTTTGTTGTTACTCTGAGCTTAAGAAATATTTTATAGTTTTTAAAGACAATTTTAAGCTGAACACAGCCTAATTCTCTTCACACACAAGTGCTCTGTATTTTGGCCTTTTCCCTGCAATTTGTGCTTTGGTTTCCTTGATTTCCTTCTTCTGTTTTTGTGCATTCCTCATCTTCTTACATTGGCCCTGCTTAACCCTCACCATTTTGCCTTTAATTATCCTATTAGTGATTTGAAATTCTAAATATCATTGTTATGTAAGCCACGCAAAGTGTTGTATGCATGTAATCACTCAGGAGGCTGAGGCAGGAGGATCCTTAGTTCAAAGACAGCCTCAGCAACAGTGGGGTGCTAAGAAACTCAGTGAGACTTTGTCTCTAAATAAAATACAAAATAGGATGGGGATGTAGCTCTGTGGGTGAGTGCCCCTGAGATCAACCCCTGATACCCCTCTAAAAATACCATGGTTTCTGGGTGTAAATATGGAGGGCTCCAGCTCCCCAGAGGTGAAACCCATAGGTGGAAAATATAATCCATAGCCCCAACATGCTTGAAGGCCACTTGTAAGACCCATGCAGCAATTTTCTCCTCCAAGGATAATCTTTACTCTTCTGTGTGGTGCAAAACACCTAAGAAACTACTTCTATCTCAAAGCCTTCC